GTAATTCTTCACTCTAACTGGAGTTAGGTCACAGGAAAAGACTTTGGGGTGATTTTTTTTCTCTTCTGCATTGGAGTAGAGAAGAAAGAACCACTAATTTTAGAGTAGTCATGTACATGCGAGTTGTCCCTATAAAGGCACCATGGTAAGATTTCAACCTGAAATTTGGCTGCAGTGGAATATGCAGGGGGAAAAAAAGCAGAGACAGACTACTTTGAGAAATATAAGTCCATTTAGCACCATGCCGTAAACATTTGTATACCTCAGTCATGAAGCTGCATTAGTTTCATACCCTGCAAGGAAATAACCTCATCGTTTGACAAATACTGTGGGAGGCACAGGTTTGAGGGTTAGGAAACTCTGCTTTCCCCTTATATGCTGCACTGATGGCAGGGGACATACTTTATAATCACAGGCATTGCTATTTGGAGATGCTGCAGCCCCTGACTTCTATTTCCAAGCCTCACTCCTACATGTGTACCTCATGGACTTACTGGGATGTGACAAAGGAAATCTCCTGTCTGCCCTATTGTGATGGCTTAGAACTGGTTTTAGTAATAAGAAAACTGTCTTGATAAATGAGCTACATGCAAGCCTTAAAATGTCTGTTTTACTGTTTCTTCTGAGATGTTGCTCTCCATCTGCTTTGAGGGAAGCAGATAGATTCCAGCATGGCTTTCTAATAAATCTTCTCAAGGAGGGGCTAGCATTAACATTTGTGTAGGTTCTTTTTCATCTTAATCCAACCTTAGTTAATAATCAGAAAATTCTACATGCTGAGTAAGAAGATGTAATTAACCCTTTGACCCCAGAATCTTAATTGGCGCCTGTTGAAACAGTGGGCAGATTTAAAAAAAAAAAAAAAAAGTTAAAAACTAGCCTGCAGTGATTAAAACAGCTCAGCACAGAGTAGCTTTCTTGATTCAAATTTTTAAAAAGTTCCACAGAACTTTCAGATTAATCATATTTGGTTCCCAGGACTAACTGACTGAATGTTTCTTTTCTCCTCCCATCTTTTAAAATTCAGATACCCACATTCAACCAATATTGATGCTACTCTTAAGACTTTTCTAAGCCCTACCTGTTTTGGCTCAGTGGATAGAGCTTCGGCCTGCGCACAGAAGGGTCCCGGGTTAGATTCTGGTCAAGGGCATGTACCTCACCTCAACTGCAGGCTCCTCCCTGGCCCGGGCCCTGGTCAGGGCTCATGCAGGAGGCAACCAATCAATGTGTTTCTCTCAAATCAATGTTTCTTTGTCTTTCCTTCTCCCTTCCACTCTCTCTAAAAAATCAATGGAAAAATAGCCTCGGGTGAAGATTTAAAAAAAGAAAAAGAAAAAGACTTCTCTAAGCAGCAAAATATAGCTAACTATAGATAGGGGTCACTCTGAATGAGAAGGCAATGGTTACATAAAGAACAACCTTGCCAGTCCACTAAGACCTGGTTTCCTATCCCATTCTTCAATGTGCCAGGTAATCTAACCAGAGTATTCGTCATTCATTTCACACTAAAGATATGATAGACTGAAATGGTTGATAAGCATAAAAGGGAAAAATTAGCTAACCACTTTTGTTTTATTTTCTTTTGTTTACCTCTGTGCTGGCATATAACTAATCCGACTAGTTGTTTTTATCCCCACCACATTGGCTGTTATTTTTAATTGAATTGACTGGACACTTTGTGTCATGTAGACACAGACTCATTTTAATCTCACCAGGAAATTGGAACATGTGTTGAAGCCTCTGTTTTTGCCAAACAAAACTGGCCAGTCCTTAGATCACTGCTGCTTAATAGCATCAGATGTTTAGCCTCCAGATATTCCGTTTCCCTGCTATGGTATCCAGACCTCCTCTAGTATTTTAGCAAATACATGAGATATGAACCTAATGTTAAAAATGCAAAATCCCTCTTAGTGAGAAAGTAAAGGATGTGTGTCGATGGCAAATGAATAGCACTCCGTGTTTTGGAAGACTATAAAAGAATCCAGTCTAACTCTGATATTCCAAGTGTCGGGAGATAGTCCAGACTATGTCAGACATCTGGAGCATCAGAATCTGCAAATAATCTAATGGCCCAGACACAGAACCCTTGGAGGGGGTTGCCATCCCTCTCCGTCACTGTAGCATGTGTGCTATAAGGGAGAGGGAGCCCTGGGTTTGGAGGTTTCTGCGCATTTACTAAGCCTTGGCTGAGCAGTTCGTTAGGTGTTGGCTAGATAAAGTTGAATAATTTATCACCCGCTGTTGAGAAATTCAGTCTCCTTTAGAGTTGAATAAACTAGCCAGGGACACATCATGTCATAAACACTTCGATAATACTGATGAAGCGCGGCAGCACTCATCCTGGCCGTGCCGCTGGCTGGCTGGATGATCTGGTCCGGCCATTTAGCCTCCCTGCACCTCAGTTTCCTCGCCTGTAAAATGAAGACTACACTGCAGATTATCTCTGTGCCAGCTCCACCAGTCTCTCCTGCTTTTGATCAGCCTTTTCCTTGTCACTTGTCCCTGTAGACGTTCTCTTGTGATCTCTCTCTCTCTCTCTCTCTCTCTCTCTCTCTCTCTCTCTCTCTCTCTCTCTCCTTCTTTTCTGACAGTGGCATTTTAGGTTTGAGAAGATGGCTACCCAACTCTTGGTGACTGTAGGCCAGGCCATGGCCATCAGGTTGCATGGAAAACCTAACCAGGCCCTTTTCTCCACGGGGAAGGTCGAAAGGGGAGCGCCATAATCCCCATGAGTCACCCTCGGGAGACAGCTTCCATGAGGTGAAGACGTGCTGAATGAGATCCTCCTCAGGCTTCCTCAAAAGCATCTCTCTCCCTTTTGCACTGGTTTAAATAAGGTCCCACCGCACCACACTGTCAGCTGGAAAGGTGGATCTCGCCATGGGGCTGAGGTCTTGTCCTGTGCTAAGGAACGCTCTCTGCTAGTATTTCACTCCGTGTCCCATAGCTGGTTCCAGGAGGGATATTATAGAGCAAAGGTGACCTATTGTGAAAGTGACTTATGAACTCTCTTGTCATCCCATTTCCCATGTTTCTCCTGCTACTAATGAGAGGATTCTGTCATTTGAACAAGGGATTCAAAAACAAGTGAATTTTAAGCTGCCTCAATATAAATATTTTAACTTCAGAAATGCTGCACAATTTATTTTTTCATTAATATACAATACTAATTAGAGAATCTTTATATTTAGAGGAAGGCGGCATAGTCACCAAGTCTATCAGCTTTCCAGTCCCAACTCTGCCACTCCCTAGGGACAGGAATGTTGCCTAACTTTGCTAAGCCTCAATTCCCTAGCATGTAAAATGTAGATAACAATATAATTACTTCAAATGGTACTTGTGAAAATTAAAAGTGAGTATATGCAAACTGCTTAGCACATATTGCTTAATAAATATAAACTATTATTATTATACTATCTTAACCAAAAGCTTGTTTATTATGTAATTTGCTTTTATGTGGAACAATGCAATATGATTTTTGAAATGTTTTTAGAAACCACTAAATCAGAGGAAGAGGTTGGGCGTTGCCCACAGTTTCTGACCAGTAGGGCTATGAAAAAGGATCTGGAAGCATGGAATTCGAATCTCATATATACATATAAGTATATATAAATAAATATACACACATATGCCAACATGCATAGATACATATATACATAAATACATATATCACTCTCAAAAAATTGGTATTTTAGGAGACTGAAATTGCTGAGATTTCAGGCAGCCTATTTTTCTAATTAAATTTTACATTATTCTTCCATATTTTTATACTTAAGAATTATGTCATTCCGTGTTGCCACTTACCTGGTTCCCACTGTGGATTTCCTATACTTCCAAAGTCACAGCCTCTGTGCATACCACTAGTCTTTAAAACTTCTCTTCCCATGCAAGTAGTGTTTCTGCAATCTACCTGGTTAAAAATCTATAATAATAAAAGCATATTATGCTAATTAGGCCGGACGACCTTCCGGACGAAGCTGGGGCTGCAAGGGAAGTCTGAGTTCCAGTTGCCAGAGGGAAGCTGGTGCTGGCAGCCAGGGGAAGGAAGACCTACTATTGGACAGATTTCGTGCATTGGGTCTCTAGTAAATAAATAAAGCAAACAAAAGACATGAAGATGATAGCACATAAAATGCACTTGTATTATAAGAATTTGAAACAAATTTATTCTCAATTTGAGTGGTACATTGCAGCTGGAGTCCCTGATGATTTAGAACATTTATCAAACTGAAAACGCAGCCCTCCATTTAAAAAGTGAACTAAGGTTTCCAGAGTTACAGATGGTGTGTAACATCCTTCTCCCCCTCACCCCCACCCCCTGCCTTTCTCCTTTTGTTTCCATTTCAGGAGTCATAATAGAAAGTAGATTTGTCACACAAAAAAACTTGAATACAGAGTTTTGCAAAAAAAGGATCACAATATGTAAGGTCTCAGCCTATAAACATTCCCCCACAAGGTACTGACTTCTCCTATCTGTTCTAACAAAAGGCAGTGGGAGTGAGGCGGGCATAATCCTTTATTAATTAGCAAATTACTGATGTCCATAGTAGCTCAAGGGGTGATTTTACTTGGTCTTCATAAGGAACTATTTTTTCTCTCATTTCATTACAATTTTCATTGCTGTTCAGCTATTAAATGGAGAATCTTGCTGATTTAATCTTAGTAACGACTGAATCCAAATAAATAAATAAATAAATAATAAATGCAACATCTTATAAAATCAACATGACCCAATTTTATACATGAATGTAATGCATCTTAATCAAATTGACAGGGACATAAGGAAGTCACTGAAATAAAGGAAGGCTTGTAATCTTAATTCAGACCTTTAATTTGTTCATGTATAATGCGATGGTTAAAGATCCTAGGACTTTTGTTCAACACGAAGGAAAAAATGGTCTTTAATTTGATATGTGTTACTTGTATCAGATTCCTTACTAATGAAACCTCCATCATATGTATTTATTAACCTTCTTATTTATTTTTTCTTCCTACAGTCCCTGGATGGCTTTGTGTTTGCACTAAATCAAGAAGGAAAATTTTTGTACATTTCTGAAACAGTCTCAATCTACCTAGGCCTCTCACAAGTAAGTAAAACCATTTAGATTCTTGGTGGTGATTGTGTAGGCTCCTTGAATCTCGTGCTTTTTCTTGCTCGATGGATATTCTGTTTAGCATGATTTACCAAAGAATGAATTATTCTTTGATCAATCTTCCCGACTCTTCTCTCTCACAAAGTCAGTGGGAAAATGGTATGTCAGTTGGGAGCATTCGGAATAAACTTGTGCTCAAAAACTTTAGTCTCCTCCTCGCCCCCAAGGGTCATTATTAATTTATTGAAAACAAATGAAGTTTCTTCCCTTGGTTGTTCTGAACTTTGAAACCTCTGTACCTGGTAGGAGAGGGACACAGGGATAGCACTTCCCTTGTGTCCTATTACTGGATGTTTATGGAGTTCCCTGCATTGTCCTGGGAGCTGACACAATGACAGGGAGTCACTGGAGTCAAGAAATGCTGAAAGAGACCATTAAAATGTGTTGCAGGGAGGATTCCAGCAAGGATATATTTTGCTGCTTTTGCAAATGCTTCCGAATGCGGAAAGACAGTTTCATAAACTTAAATAGCTTTGTATTATTTGCAGTTTAATTACTCACACGCGTCTGTTAGAGGTTCAAAGATAAGAAAACGGAGGCAGCTGGGACAAGGGACAGAATCCTAGATGTTCGTTCTCACTCTTCCTCTGGAACACAAAACCTTTACCTCCATTGGATTCCAAGACACGAGCTGTGTCTAAAGAATGCCAAAATACCCCGAAGAAAAGTTTGTGATCCAACTAATTATCCAGATGTTTTCTCCATAAAAATGCCGAACACCTGGATATTTGTGCCCATACAGGTGATTGGCTGAGTTTGACCCTTTCATGTGGTGGTTTGGCAGGAGAGAAACGCAGCCTGGGTGGGAGTGTGTGTGTGTGTGTGTGTGTGTGTGTGTGTGTGTGTGTGTGTGATGATCTGCCAAGGTGGATAATCTATTTCTCATTCAGTTGCTCCTTGGAGCTAAAGATGGAGGTAAGATTTGTCTTCTCTTAAGCAGGACCCTCCCCAGAATCCTTGATTCTGAAAGTTGACATCACTCTAAGGAGGTCTCCAGTGTGGCTGGAACCTTTTGGCTATTAGTGAGTTTGCTGGATAATGGATAAATCAAGAAAGACATTGGGAAATAATAAAGAGATATTTGGCATTCGAGAAGGGTTGGGGGAGGAGGAGAAACACTGCCAAATTTGATAATTTACTGTTGAGAATCCAAGCAAGGGTCCATTAGCTCTTCCTTGAAGAGAGTGCAAGCTATTTGCTATAGTATATAGAGTAATTCTGTTTTTTTGTGGACTTCAGCAAGCCAAATGATAGAAATGGAGCTATTGTTAACTCAATATTAGTATTCTTGCATCTTGTTGAAAGCTCTGGTTTTATAATTGCCTATAATAATAGACTTTAAGCCTTGTCTTAATCTGTTTGGGACCTCATGTGGGGATTCTCCAGTTTTAAAATTGGTGTGCCACCATGATAATAGGTATAAAACCAGAAGCACCACTGTTTGTTGTTCTGCAATGCCCATATTCATCTGTTTTATGCAGACTGTCCAACAAAGTTTAATCAGCCAGTGAAGAAGAAGGATGAATAATTAGTTTAAGCAGGTAAATGCTAATTAGGGAACTCCTGAAAAGCATCCATTATATACTAGCTCAAAACACATTTTACAGCCCTGGTTAGTGGTGTAATCCAAATTCTGTCAAGGCAACTGCATTTTCTGTAATTGAGATGTGTATGTTTGCTTTGCATAACAGATGGCTCTGTATGCTTAGACTGATAGCTAGGAAAATAATAATTGCATTATTCCGGCCAAAAGAATATTAGCTCTTGGGTCTCGGCCATTTCAGTTGGTCCTCCTGCCAGCACAGCATATGCACATATATGGATTGGATTTTCAAGGAAATTGATGCATCTGGAATTGTGTGGCCATCTGAAATATCATCTGTTCAAGAAAAATTTGGCTTTAACCCTATGCTGGTTTCTCCTTAAAAACAGTTGATTTCACTGCTTCTCTCCTATAACATTAAGTCAATCTTGTCCTAAAATCTGAGTCAAATCATTGAGGTTTCTGCAGAATAGAGTAGCTGCGTAGATATAGCACAGTAGCTGGCAACTCCCATGCAGCCATTCCCTGCTCATATGTGATGGGTTTTAAAGTGTGTGTCTATAGCCAGCATCTTGACCTCCCAGGGGTAGACACTGGCATAGTGTGCTGTTGCCCTCTGGGTAGATGTGTGCAGTGTTGCCATAAGCGGTCAGTATGTTGGTAGAGGCTCTGAGGTACGAGATGGAGGTCGTCCTTTGGAGGCATTACACAGCTGAAATGATGAAGGGTAAGTCATTAGAAAATGATTTTTGCATATACCATTTTATGTACTAGTATTTAGAGTTCAGAACTAAATTTTAAGAATAGTTCTGGGTCAACATGAAAACAGACTGATAAGAGCATGGTACTTTTTTATGTACATCAAAGAATGAGGTGAAGAAAGGCTAAGGTAAAACTTTGGGAAGGGATTTCCAACCCAGTTAACGTTCTAAGTCCTAATTGAGTAATTACGGTTCCTGAGACCTAACTGTTCCCAAGTTTCTTCGGTACCCTCTTCAAATGTGGGGTGCTTGTGGCTGAATACAAAGTAACATATACTCAAAGTAATTGAGTACATACTTAATCATTTACACACACACCCAAAAACTCTGCTGTGCCCTACAACTTGGCTTCAGTGGTTATTCTATCAAATTCTAGACTGTGATAAGGAATCTATAAAGTTATACTCCCTCCTTTTCTTTATAAATAGTTTCATGAAATAAAGACAGCACATACCTGTAGCATGAGACTGTCATTGAAATCGCTGAGGGATGTGGTGAGCATGGGGGTGTGTTAGAGCATAGCTCTGTCTGCATGTGTAACTCCCAAGACATTCTTTCCTTAGTTTTATTTTCTTTCAGCATGTAAATAAATATGGTGACTTTAAAATGGCTTATGTTCAGGAAAGGATTGAGGTTATTTTTGGCTCATAAGAAAATTAAGTAGAGAAACTTCTACTGAGCTCTGTTGAGTAGAAAGAATATAGAGGCAGCCAGAGTGGATTATTATTCTACAGTCCATTGAGTGTAGCAATGCCTGGTGTTCAGGGTGTGTGTGTGTGTGTGTGCGCGCGCGCGCGCGCGCCAGTTATCCTCCTTAAAAGTATTTTCTTATTGTCATGATGATGGTAATGAAGGATCCATAATGATGTCTGAACCTCTTCGGCAGCACTTTTGACTTGGCCAGAGATATTTAACCTAACATCCAAGATGTAGTCTCAGGTTGTTGAAATGGGTACTGTTGATTTCCTTCCCTTAGTAAAAATGACTTCCAGGGACTCACCATGAGGCCTTGTCTTAAAGGAAGACCCCTAAATATCGATGCTGAGTTTGGTTTACACAGAGATTAAATGATGGCCCTCAAAACTGCTAAACACCACTCTGCTCCCTAGCTATCAAGGGATAAGCAGGAGTGAAAATGAAGGAAGAAAACAGCAGATTTCTAACACTGAAAATGTAGCAGTAATATGTACCCAGCTTTTATGAAATCTCTTTCAACTTGTAAGAAACTTAATCACCAAGAATCCAATAGAGACTTTATATTTTTTTTTTAAAAAAATATCCTATTTTGATAAAAGATTTAAAGCAGCTTAGAGAAATATTTATTTGTTGGCCTATACCCTCCTCTTCTATAAAGGAAATAGCTTGCATAAACATATACAATAAAAAGTAATGGCAAAAAGAACTAGGATATAAGGAAAAAAGGAAAAAATAGGTACTATTTTACCACAGAATAGGAGAACACAATAGAGGCTTATAAGAAGGGATATAAATGGTCTGATAAAGCTTCAAAGGTAGCTATGAACTTCCTGTTAGCCAGAGCAAAAAGGGATATACAGCAACCATAAAAAATAAGGAAGCATCACTTTTTAAGAAAAGTTTTTCTAGGACAGAAAGAGAAAAATAAATCTCAAATACAATTTTTGTAGGGGCTACTATGTGGATTATATGTATTGATTTGCTTCCAGTGGGGTCCACATTCAGAGCAAGGCTGTAGTGACCCATATAACAAACATGAACATACATGTTGCAAATCTCATAGGCAGGCAGAAGACTCCATCATCCTTCCATCCCCCCCCACCACACACACACTCAGCTGTGGTGTGCCAAAGATTATTTTGAGAGCTATGTTCTGGCATCATCTGCACTTAAAATAGTGTTGACTAGTTTGATGATTTGGGGGCTTCTAAATGATCTTTCACTATTCCACATAAATCCTGCATTTTCTTTTAAATACTGACTAGAAATTTAACATTATAGTTGCCAGAGGCAGAGGACATGGGTCTTAGTTAAGCCTATATAATAAAAGCCCAATATGCTAAGTGTCTGATCATCTGTCCAGCCATTCAACCAATCAAAGCGTCATACACTAATGATATGCTAAGACCCCTCAACCACTTTCTATGACATGCACTGACCACCAGGATACAGACAGTCACCAGTCACCCAGTTGCTATGACGTGCACTCACCACCAGGGGGCAGTCACTCCAACCGGTAGGTTAGCTTGCTGCTGGGGTCTGGCCGATTGGGACTAAGCAAGACCGGCTGAACATGCCCTGGACCCTCCCACGGTCCCTTCCGGCTGGCCAACCTCCCGCGTCACTCCCCGGCCCCGATCATGCACTGGTGGGGTCCCTCGGCCTGGCCTGCACCCTCTCACAATCCAGGACCCCTTGGGAGATGTCAGAGAGCTGGGTTGGACCCCATCCCATAGGCCAGGGCGAGGGACCTCACTGGTGCATGAATTCGTGCACTGGGCCTCTAGTCAAAATATAAAAAAAGAACTCACAGCTTCTGAAAACATTTTTCCTTGAATATAAAGTGAGAAATGATGATTCTGATGTACACCTAGGCCAGCAAAATGTTTTCAAGTTAACATAGAGTCTTATTTAAAATAAAATGGGCCCTGGCT